AAATATATTATTTTGAAAGTCTCGTCCTCATCCAGTTGTGTAATTGATAATCAGTGGGTGTTCATGTAGGCTGCGGAATGGGAAATGTAGCCCAAATACATTATTTAATTTAGTCGATCCATTATATAACTTTTCTTTTGAAGAGGTAACGCAGCAACGTGCAGTCTGATTCCATTACTCCATTACTTACTAGGAACACTTTCACACAAGTAGTTTTACTAAATTGTGTAAAATATTCTAGTACTCTCTCCATCCTCGGCTGGATGCTTCCAACAGACAATTTGGGAAATGATTCTACATCTCACCTTTTTTATTTCGCTAACCTGGGTTTTTAATAAAATCAATGTACCAGTTTGATTAAACTGACTGCTCGTGTTTCCTGCATGAATTATTTTACAATCCCAGAGCAATTACCTTTTTTGTGTACCGCACAATGATATTGTTACTGTTAATAATGGTCAAAACTACAAAATAAGAGCCGAGTTGAAATGTTCTGACTTCCGAGTTTTACAACGCACCGGTCCTCATAAAGATAGAAGTAGCAGCACACACACATTGTTTTAAGGTCAGTGTTTTATGGCCTCAGACAGTTAACCTTTTACTGACCAAACACACACTTACAGAGAAGACAACGCCTGTGCTGCAATGCAGTGATAATATCACAATCACCGCTGCAAGTATGCGAGTGTCCTAATGCTTGATTTTCCCTTCTGGGAACAGCTGCAAATGTGGAAACTCTTAATGCAATAACAGCACAGAGTGCCATAAAAAAATGTCGTAAAATCCTACATTACAGTAAAAATCTGGATAGCATCTTGTAATAGTTTTGGTGCATAATGTGATATTGAGCACAAGGTATTGTGGGATTCATATTTTTAAGAATATTGTAATCATTTCACATCACATAGCCGGATCAATTAAATGTGAGGATGTTGACACAAAGTTGCCTGAGCTGCTCACTCGCTGTCGCTCTGGGATCACATTCAACCCCTAATGCATTCGTGTTCTCTCAAACTGCGTGACTCACTGACATGAAACTGATCAAAACACAGTTATTGGTTTATTTTTTACAGCCAAAACCGTTTATTTTCTTGCAATTATCTGCTGAAATGTTTTCACCACACAAACATCCCAGACACGCAGCAACAAAATAAAGCCAAACAACCCGTTGTGACAAGTTCCGGCTCCTTGCATCTAGTGTACAGGGAGCTTGGAGCAAATTGCGTTTGATTTGGGTTTTATGATTTTGGGAGAAGCACCGATGAGGAGAAAAGTAGTTTCAGTGTCTGTTAACGGTCCGGCCTCCGTCCCCAACACGAAACACGCCATCAGTGCACTGCGACTGAAGTGCATGATGAGATTTTTCTTTTACAATGGCATCAGCTAATTTTATCAGCTAAATGACTGACAGAAGTTGGTTTGGCAGTTGCCCGGCAACAGTAACAGGATACAGCCAACACTTAATGTCTGTGCAGGCTTCTGGAAACAAAGGCAGAGAGGCTCGACGGGAATTTTTCAAGCAGACAGTGTGTGTCCTGAGTGAGCAGGCACGTTTAGTTCCTGGTGATGACTGAAGTTGATCAGGAAACAGTTTGGGTCTGTGTTAGCCAGCAGCTTCTGGCTCTGATAAAGGGCAAACATTTAGGATTGTTTACCACAGGTGGAAGCTTTCTACATGGAGTGATAACACTGGAGCGCATCGAAGTGGAGGAAATACGAATACAGCCAACACGACTTAAAACCTGCCATTGCATTTGTCAATGTGAACACAGGATCCGTAAATTAGCTCATTTGCTTCATGAGCCCAAAAAAAGAGGATGCGACTGCCCCATAGACTGTATATAAGAAGTGGACGTAGTCATCGTGACGTCACCCATTGGTGTGTGGACTGATGTTATGAAGCCTTGAGAGCCATCTTGGATTACGGCCATCGCCATGTTGTTTTTTTTGCAACCAATGAATGGAAGTGACAATATTGGGATCACGGAGGAGAGATGTAGAGACGCCGTATATGGCTCTGGTAACGACCTGTCAATCATTGTGTAGCCCCGCCCCTAAAGCATCCCCTGCTTTATGGTCTGTTTGA